AATTCAACATACATAAAGTCATATAGAATTTTTTGTCCTAATTTTTCACAACCTTGAAGCAAATCACTTTTCGCTGTGAAATTCCCTAGGAACAACAAAAAGTACTTTTCTTACACCAAAATTAACAAGCCCTTAAAATCATGATCACCTAACGTGGAGTTTATATCTATCGATTTTATATTCATTTGATTTAAGCTCCAACTCTAATCTATACTAACTTCTTTTCTTTCCCGTAGCAATACTACCTATTTGGTTAATGTAGGGAATGTTGAATCACAAATTATTTTATCGATTCACCACTAAAAGCTAACAATTTAATATGAAATGCATTAAGTCATTATTCGACATAAATTACTCATCAAATTGTGTAGTTTTTTTTTTTCGTTTTTATGATACATGTTATAATTTTATAGTTTCAAAATACCAAGTGAAGGATGAACACAATTCAAGCCTCGAAGGGATAGACAATATAGAGAAAGCATGACAAAGACGAAGAGGAGAAGAAGGAATAAAGGATAGAGAACTATTAAAGGAAACGACACGCCAATGGACGCAGCTGGTGATAACCTTTGCATTCTAGGTTAGGAAACCATTAAATTCTAAGAACATGATATATAAAGAGAGATAACGCGGAGGGTAAAATCTCTTTTGGCATGTATAACAAGTGCCTTCGGTTCATATAGTGTCTGCTAAGTTGCCTCCTCATTTCATCTAAATAGAGTAGAGACACTTCCCATGTATCCTGGAAATCTTCATTTCAAGCTAGAAACTGGGTTGGTTGAATCCTCTCATTTAATATGGTGTTTTATTTTAAGGTGTTGAGATGCATGTGTGAGTTAAGTTAGAGAAGCCTCACATTGGAGAATTGGTAAGGTGTGAAGCAGTTAATATATTTTAATTGGCCCATAATTTTTTTTTGTCAGGGCTCATAATTCATTAACTTAAATTTTGATGTTATAATTATAATATCAATAATGTGATCCCACATTTAATTTATTATTACTCACATTAATTACTTTCATCGATACTTTATTGAGCGCATTAAGGTGCGTGATAACTATGGTAATTGCCCAATATTAAGGTAACTATCTTGATAGAAGAAGTTATCTATAATGGTATGTTTGGGGATATAAATAGGTCATCTAAGCCAAACCTTCTCATGATCTAATTTTGATTATTTGATTTGAGATATCAGAAAAACACACTATCGACGTTGAGAGGGCAATTGGCTAGAAGTACCTATTGACGATCGTTAGAGCTCTACGTATCAGGTTTTCAATTTCATCAATAGCTGGAGATGGGTATAGAATTCTTTATGTTTCCACACTCGATTTTGATTATGCATGATTTTTGTTTATACATGAATAATTGAAATCTTCAGTCTTTCGCTAAATTGATTCTAATGGAGTGAAGATAAGTCCAACCGGATATATTGACAGGCTCGAACTTAGGCTCTCCCTTGGTGATCTCCCCGGGCGAAAATATTGGGCTTCTCCTACACGCTCCCAACAAATGATATCAAAGCCGTTGCTAGATTGGTGGGCCCCTAATCTATTTTGATGTTTAGTGAATATCTCGAAAAAGGAATTTAGTGACCAACGCGATTTCTAGGCAGTAATGGTGGGCCTTGTGGTGAAGCAACGAGGTCCTGAGGATATACCTAAATTAAGGGAGAACAAACCCAATACTGAGCTCACACATGAAGACGAAATTATTGAGATGCACGTATGAATTGTGTTAGAGAAGTCTAATAGTTAATATAATTGGCTTAAACTTTTAAGTGAAGGTGGGTCCAACTGATATGTTTACGGACTTGGACTTGATCTCTTCCATGGCGATCTTCTCGGGCAAAGGTATTGGGATTTTGTTGCGTGCTCCTAACAACAAGGAACTATTTGTTAATTTTTCAGCTTTAAATTTCCTTGGCTTACACTTCGTATATCAGCAATGTTGGGGATTGTCATAAGCATCTCATCGATAGGGGCATGCAATTCTTCATTAATTTTTAGGTAAATATTACAAGAACGGATGGTTGAATATATTCGATTTCAAATCCAGAAAAACATAAATCAAATAACAAGAAAGTCAATCTCTACAGTGGTGATCATAACATGGTTTTTCCGCATAACGCGATCGAAACATCGATAAAGTCTCTTGATTTAACGGTCCATGTCGATAGGAGACGATGGCTTGTAGATAGACAGGTCAAAGGGTAAGCTCATAAGAGATTTGGTCTTTTGCAAGCTTTCACTTGTACAAGGGACTCTTTACACCCTTGTACTATCTTTTTGTTTCAACTGTTAATACTTTGCACTAATTTTTCACGTTGCCTTGGAAGTGTACAAATGTATTTTCGTCTCAATTTTTTTTTTGAAGAAAATCTCTTTTTTACTCTTCGTTGCTTTAAGCATGAAAAATAAATATAGGAAATGGGAGAAAATTAAATGAACTAAAATGTAATGATAAAATAAAATGAATATCAAAATTTGAGAAACTTCGCCACTTTACTAGAACCTAATAAAATATTTAAGACCACTAAGAAAAAAGATATTTTAAGGAAAAAACATAAATTAAGTTAAAAGGGAAAAGGCCTCAATAATAGAAAGGTCGAAGGACAAAAATTGGTTACTCGATATGCATTTTAAAAATGGTTCATTAATGTAAACAGTTGATATGATCAATTAAATTATTTTGAAAAATCATTAGCAGAGATGATGTTCCCAACTCACAAAAAGAAATTACTAACTGAAATCCAAGGTGATATTTTAGAAAATTTTTTATCAATCAATCATTTTTTGCATTAATTGGCCATTTAAAAATACATAATGTGTATTCAACTTTTTTAATTTGATCTTTTTTCTTATCGAGGCCTTTTTTTCCTTTTTAATTAATTGTGTTTTTTCTTAGAATATGTTGCTTAGTTCTATTAATTTATTCATCATATTTTTATTAGGTAATAATATTATTGATATTTTCTTTTTTATTGTTAATGTCGTGTTTAACTTAGTTTTCTCTATTTTCTTTACTTTTTCATTTTTTATGGAAATCACAGGTAAAAGAGAGATTTCCTTCGGAAAAATGATATGAAAATACACTATTACCTCTTATAAATCACGTTCATTGCACATGCTAACGGAAAAAAATAACGGAAGGGTAATACCTGTAACAAAATAAAACTTTAGGGGAGTAATGTGTACCAATCGAAGTTTAGGGGCAAAAATATACTGTCCACCAAGTTTAAGGGAAGTTTTGAGCAATTTCCCCTATTTCCCTCCTTTCAATCCAAAGCTCCTACGGGCTTCAAATTTATCGTGTTTTAACCAGTGCGTAAGGATGTATACAAGTAGCGGATATCTATAGACTTATGCAACCTTTAAGGTAAAGGGTTTACACTCCATTGCGTCCACCTCCAACTTAACATGCTCAAATTGCCCTTTTACAGGGAGCTGGTCATCCACCCGCATAACACAAACCCAAATAATGTCATGAGATGTATCACAGATGGATTCGTTATATCCTCTGTTATATATATCCACACGGGCATTCAAATTGGAAAGGGGAATACGGTTTTTGGTCGAAAAGTCGTGCGCAGACAAATGAATGTTCTTTCGACCTCGACGAAGAATCTGAGTCAACACAGGATTGCTCACATATCTTCAGCAAGATCAATGACTACATCGGTTGTGGCTTCTTTACAATTGTATGTGAGAATAATATTGCATTTCTGAGATTCCCTCTACAAGTACAGTTCACGCCCCTATGTTGAAGGAAAAGGGCAGCGATGGGTGACTGGCAATGGTGACCCCAAGGTGAACATCCAAGATTGATCAAGTTACCTCGCCCCCGACTTAACCTCTTGACCTTTTGGATGTACGAGGGCACTTCTACCACTGGACCATCCTTGCCGGTTGAAGGAATGAAAGCTGCTAGTGAAGGTTGCATCACCACAAACCAAAAAAATTACATGGCACGATACATAAACCCGCGATACACACCATGCATCGAATATGATTGGCTTAATACATAGTTAGGAAACAGATTTGTGTGTGCTTTGGGCCCTTTTTGAGAGTGTGGAAATTGACCTTGCGGAGCCGCTGGGCTCAGGGGTGAGGATCATGGATTTCACGCAGAGGGTCGACTTCGAGGGCTGGAGGACATATGCTTTCGTTGTGGCAGGAGTGGGCATAGGACCGGTGGTGGATGCATGGGAAGCTGGGGGGCGAAACAGAGTGCGGTCTGCTATCTGTTTTGATAGGCAAACATGTTTCCTTACGATTGTCTATTATGTTGTCAATAGTTTATGTAGATGGGAAGCAAATCGCTGTGCACTAGAATTAGTGTGTAGTGATGGAGGAATCTTTTGCTGGGTCTTTCTTGATCCTCCTCTTGCCTTGCTGTACATTGTCTGGATTAGTGTTGGAATTGTTACCCAAAGGGCATGTCAACTTTTGGCTGTGTTTTCATGTGTGATGTGCATGTACTGTGGTTTGTCAAACAGTTTCATGTTCTGTTTCTAGTGAGGTACTGCCAGCTTCGCTCTCTTTCACCGATTCACCTGGTTTGCCCCGGGGCAAGGGCGTTCTCTCAATCACACCTTAGGAAGCCGATGATGCGAGATCAATTTATCAAACCGAGGTATGGCCAAGTCTATGCGCTAATCGGGCGGGTTCCTCGGTCTTAGGTAGCGGGTACTGTCCAATGTCTAAAAGTTTATCAAGGAGGGCGGTTCGGTCGCATTGCGGTTCTGCCTTCAACTTTAAAAGAAAGACATCAATGTGAAATGTCTCGCAGTGACAACTACTGGCTTAAGTTCTTAAAACAAATAATCGCTTGTTCCTTCAGTCGATACGGGAACTGCATATTTTGTGTTCCTATACATGTCTACTAGGTCATTTTGACGTTGATCGGCATGTCGTCGGTCACATTCTGAGTCCTCTTAAATGCAGAGCGAAGTAATCGGTTTTCAGTAAGATAGTTAGAAATCGCAGTATTTGGGCACAACATCTTCTCATATCTGAGATTCCATCTGTTACAATTGACAGATGACCTGAGCTTGAAATGTAGTGGTAGCTGTTGCTCAGCGGACCTTCCGTGCCTTGCCAAATACATGTCGGTTATTCCGGTAACTCGATGCATGTTCTTCCGATTACATGAATCACGACAAGGCTAAATAACTCGCAAACGAAGTTTTTCTCATAACTTAGCAACAAAACCTTATTCTAGCACCCACTCTTAAACGTGCGGATCTACAGAGGATAGTAATGAATCCATCTACGAAACATCTCGTAACATTCTCTGCGTTTGGATTCTGCAGGCGAGTGACCAGCTCCCTGTACCAATGACGTTAAGAGAGGGACAAAAGCACCATGACACCAAAAAACTACTCTGGGAGAAGGAAGCGGGCGATATCAAAGTCTGAGTTCTTACCTTTATTGTAGCATAAGTCAATCGATATCCGCTGTCTGCATAGTTCCTCGTGTACCTATTAAAACATGGTGAAATTGGAAGCTCTAATATCATGGAGGAGACAAAAAAAAGAATAAGGGAGAACGGAAAAGTAAGTTCAGCCGAAAAGCTTGCATTAGACCGAACTCTCTGTGAGCTTACCCTGCAACTTGGCCATCTACGAACCACGGTCTCCAATCTATATCCACCGTCAAATCAAGCCATTTTATCCACTCTTCGAGACCATTATATGGCATAAACATGTCGTGATCACCGCTGCAAAGAATGAGTAACTCATCACCGGTTCGAACGAAGTAAATTTTCTTTCTGTTGAATTTCACATTCGCCACAATCTTCCCACAATATTGTGATTATGCATTTCAGTAAGTTTTACCCGAAAACTAGAACTTGCATGCCCAGACTGGTGAGATTCTTTTGATAATCGAGAACACTGTTGACATCTTCACTGTAGGCTAAGGAAATATTGCACCTGAAAAATTCGCTGACGGTTCCCTACAAATTGACACGATAAGATACAACTATTTGGTTAGTTCTCTCGAGAGTAAATAAATTTGAGCGGGAAATTCATAGGCAAATTTTGTACATACTGGTCGAACGTGAAGAGCTTCTTGTACACCAGGATAATTACCCCATATATCAGAAAGTAGATATTCGAAATACTGTTACATTCGACGGAAGAATTAGAAAACAGATTTAGAGAGAGAGAGAGAGAGAGAGAGAGAGAGAGAGAGAGAGAGAGAGAGAGAGAGAGAGAGAGAGAGAGAGAGAGAGAGGGAGAGACCGAGCACCAAAAATCGCGAGGTCTCGGTAGTGACACAAGATGATCCTTGGTGAAATCTTGGAGGGACCTCCTGTGCTTCTCTTGGTTTGATATTGCTAATTTGAAAGCTTCTTTCGATTTTGGCGAAATGAAAGTACAAACAGGGTCAAGAACATTTGTTTTGCTGATCAATTCAATTAGCTGGAAATAAGACAGAAAGAACCAAAACATCTCTGCTCAAACTTTATGTTCAATAAATTTCACACCAGAAAAGAGTTTGTAGAGAAAGAAAGAACTAGTCTATTTCCTATGTATCCATCAAGGATGCACATTCTCTAACCTCGTTGTACGTTGCCAGATCCTCTGTGCAGTTCGCGTTTGTCGAATCCACAAAATTCCCACCACAATTTATTTCTAAAGCCTGATAATGAAGGATATAATTTGATCATACACAGGACTCACATATGCTGACCTGGTCTTGTGTCAATGAGTTCACACGTGATTTTCTGCTCATTACCTCATAAAGTGCATTTGAAATGAGGGCCAACCTATGAGCGAACGGAATTCTTGCGTTTGTTTCAAGATTGGTGTCCGTGTGGGGACATGATAGTATCATTCCCTGAAAACGATTCAACAAAGAGAAGAACAGTACATTAACAGAAGACGCAGTTTAAACTCAAATTTTAAGAAGGAAAATTAAGACTAGGAGCACGCTTTTTCATACCTTAAGGTGAACATATGGTTTAAGTCCAGCTTCATTCCCTGCGCAAATTTGCAACAAGGAAAGTGTTTGCTTCAGAGTCCATCAATAGATGTGGAAAGGCGAAAATGTCTATGTTTATTCCATTCAATCGGGTTTATAGAAAAGAATTTATTACCTCGTAGAATTGCTGTTGCAACCATGGGAGAATATACACCGGCATAAGAATCGCTACCAATAAACACCGGGTTGGTCTCGAAACTTGGATGAGCCACTAACCACTGCATCACATATATAAATTAGTGTTCATTTTGCACCCGATTTTTTTTTATATTATGATACAACCATTGTGATCTGTGAAATTTTTCACTCACATTTCTTAAGAAGGTCTGCATCTGTGCAGCATTCAATGAATCTGAGGAATTGTACGCTGATGTCGTCGTCGCATAGGAGAAACCCGCGCCCACTGGTGCATCTATGAATATAATGCTGGCTGTCTGATTATTTTGGGGTGTATAAGGTCAGTAAGAACTCAGTAAGAGGACAAGATTGAAATTGAATCAAAGTTCAGTAATCTGTTAAATTATCCAAAATCGAGGGCAAATTTATTACTTCTCACTTTACCTTAGTCCATGCATCTGGCTCATAGAGCAATGATGGCAAACCCCCAGTGTAATCAGTAATATTGAATTTAAGTGGACCTGCATATCGCTTACATCAAAATACTATATGTTGACACCTACTTGAAGACATTTGCAACATCATAATGATACAGCAGGAGGAATAATGAAGAAGAAGAAACTGACCGATCTGGTACAAGAAGGCATTCAAACCGGAACAACCGGGACCTCCATTCATGAAAAGTAGAAGAGGGTCAGCTCCAGGATTTCCAGTAGACTGCACGAAGTAGTAGAAGAACTCGACCTCACCAACACTTATGTACCTGCGTCAACCAAAACACCAATTTAAGATCACTTAAACAGTCAAATCCATCCCTGCCTTTTGAAACCAAAATCACTTGTTTATAGTCACATTACTAATTGCCCAGTTTCAAGAGCGAACGGAAGCAAACCGGGATAACCTGGCAATTCCTTGGCAATCCAGCAAGAAGATGCAGAGCCAGAAAGGTACAGAAACAGAAAGTGCAAGAATTAAATTTCGTTTTTGTCCAAACGGTGATCATTTAATTCATCTAGCAGAAACTAAAACTATGGAGCATTTTGTCTGTCAGTTTGGTTAAAGTAACTAGGCAGCGATAAAAGAATGAATGGAAGATAGCGTGTTAAAGATATTTGTCCACCAAGAGTAGGCAATGGAAATAGAAGGAGAAAAGAAAATAGGAGGAATGTGCCGATTATAACTAAGATTTTGATCCTAGTGATTGTTTTACCTACCATATACCTGAAGTCAGAAGTCCAATATAGTATGCACCATTTAATCGGGATAATAACACCATAAGTACCGTTACTTTTCTATCGATCATCTAATGACCTTACTTTTCAATCAATCCCTACCACATCGGACTTCCGTCACTTGTGGTGATTTAAAAGTAATGATACTCAAATGATCGAAAAGTTATGATACTTAAGTGTACATCATACGAAAGTTATGGCATTCGAGTGAGCGCTATATAAAAATTATGGTAGTTAAGTAAGCACTATGGCCCTTTGTCGTGTGTTTTTCTCCCATTTAATCCTGATTGCATCTATGGCGCAATCACATATTCCATCTATGGTGCCATTGGGGCACTGTGCCCTTCCGCGGTGGACCATCGTAAATTGACCCTTTTTTGTCGCGGTCCAATAGAAGGGAAAAGTGTCAAAAAAGTCCTAAACTTATTGCCTTTGTGCCAATTTAGTCATAAACCTTTTAATTATGTTAATTTAGTCCCAAACGTTTTGGCCTCATGCCAATTCAATCCTTTCGGCTAATTTTGACTTGATAATGCTAAAGTGGACACCGGCCGACCTACATAGTACCGCCGGCACTAACGTAAATAATTTTTAATAATATTTTAATATTTTAAATATTTCTCTGTTTTTTTTTTTCTGTTTTTTTTCTTTCTTTTCTTTTTTCCTTTCTTCTTCCTTTGTCCGATGATCGGCCACCGACCATGGCCAGGTGGGCTAGCCTCACCTGGACAAGGGTCGCCGTCGCCCAGCACAGGTAAGGGTCGGCCTCGCCCAGCCCAAATCTAAAGAGGCCAACCCTCGCCAAGGCTAGGGTGGCCTCACCAGAGCCCTCGCTTGGCCAGGTCTTGCCTGTGCTGAGTGACGGCAACCCTCGCCTAGGCAAGGCCAACCCACCTAGCCATGGTGGCCAGCCACCTGCAAAAAGAAGAAGAAAGGGAAAAAAAAGGTAATAAAAAAATAAAATTATATTTATATTTTATTAAAAATTGTCAATATCAGTACCGGCGGTGCCACGTAGGCCGGCTGACGTCCACGTTAGCAATTTCCAGCCAAAACTGAATTGGCACAAGGCCAAAAAGTTTAGGATTAAATTGGCATCATTAAAAGGTTTATGACTTTTCGGATTCTTTTCCCTCCAATACAATGTGTCATAATCGCAATACGTGAAGGAAATCTAGTTCAAACAATTGTCGATAGAGAGAGAGAGAGCATGAGAGAATCCAAACTGACCCTGTTTCAAGCTTAAAAGGCAGTCTACCAGGAAACCCAGGAAGAGTCTCCACAACGTACTGAGATGAAGCAGCAGAGGCAGACACAAGCACAGCCAAAATGGACGCCCACTTCTTCTCCATCCCTTGCCTTCCTGAATTCAACAGAGCCTTTCGCCTTGCCACTCTCTCTCTCTCTCTAGTCTCTGCTCTCACACTTTGTTGCCGATGATCCAACCCCGCTCCTCCCACACCCCAAATAAATACAATAACATAGTGCGTGGGGCCCACTGGAAGAGCTCTATCATCGTGCTTGGCTACTAGCTATGACAGCTACTGTTACCCAATTGCCCGTATCTAACAGTCCACCCGATGCACTGCTAACTTGAACGTGGCAAATGAGCGAGCGAATGTCTCTCCCAAGTCTCAGTTCTCCCATGTCGACAGATGACGAAAGAAATCTCGTCGGTTAGAGGCTTGCTTACACGGTGTAATGAGTCCGAAATTCAACTCATTTGGATATGTTTACAGTGACTTTTATTTTTTCTTCTATTTCGTCTTTTCTCGTGGCATTTGGGATTTGAATTTTCATATTAATTTCGCGCCAAAAATCATTCAAAACATACACAAATTCAACATACATAAAGTCATCTAGAATTTTTTTTCTCCTAATTTTTTCCCAACCTTGAAGCATATCACTCTTCCTTTTGAAATTTCCGAGGAACAACAAAAAAAAAAAACGTTTCTTAGGCCAAAACTAACAAGCCCTTAAAATCACGATCATGTGGAGTTTATATCTTATCGATTTTCGATTCATTTGATTTAAGCTTTAACTCTAATCTATACTAACTTTCATTTTTTTCCCATAGCAATACTACCTATATGGTTAATGTAGGTAACGCTGAATCGCGATTAATTTCATCGATTCACCACTAAAAGCTAACAATTCAATATGAAATGCATATATTACTTGAGCGCGTTAATACGAAGATGAAAGAGACAAAGAGAAGGAAAGATGAACAAAGGTTTTCCATGGTTCGGTCGACCAAGAAAAATTCCCTGGAAGCCTACATCCACGGTAGAAATTCCCATATTTATTAGCTTCTTGGGGAAGATTCATTCTCCTTAAATAAAGAAGAGAACATCATAGTTGCTAAACATAGCCTATGATTTTTATGGTAAATACAGCTATTACACATCGGACCTTGATTCTCAATCTTATCATGATTTGGCAAGCTTATCTTGCCAACACTACCCCTCCAAGTTGAGGCAAAGATGTCCTCTAACGTCAACTTGGCCAACATTTGTTGAAATACTCCTTTAGAAATGGGTTTGGTAAACACATCAGCAAGTTGTTCTTCCCTTCGAACATAAGGAGTCTTGATAGTTTTGTCTTGACCTTTCTCTCGAACAAAATGACAATTGACTTCTATATGTTTTATTCTTTCATGGAAGACCGGATTTGATGTAATATGAGTTGCTACTTGATTATCACAAAATAGCTTCATAGGAGCACGAGGTCCTTCAAGACCCAAGTCACTCAATAGCAAGTGAAGCCAGACCAATTCACATGTGGCAGATGCCATATGTGACATCCTCGATTCGGAACCTAATTCGACAAGTGGAGTGGCTTAAACTGTCAATGCTCTAATAGCAGGATTAGACCATGAGTCGATTCACGAATCGTTCATGGGTCAACTATTCGATTAGGAAAGGCAATTGAGGGTTGGACAATGCGATCGACTAGAGTACTCGACCATGGAAATAGCTCGGCCATAAGGATCGATGCGGGATGACATTATGACGTCACGGGTCAAGCAGTGAAAGGTTAGGAATCGATTCGGCGAAAGTATACATAGTCATATTGCGGGTGATTCCGCATGATCATTATACTAAACCCGAACGATCTTAAGTCAATTTCACCAGATCACGTGCCCCGGGTAAATAAGTCAATTCCACACGATTACATGACAACCGAGAATGATCCATGGATTAACGAGAGTCGAATATGGATTGATTGACGAATCAACCATAAGTCCCGCTAGCGACACCCCAAGAGGCCACCTAACTCGAATAGGCCGTATTAGGGACACTTCCCGTTGAAGTTTTGCCACAAGCCTTGATCCGATTATAGGTTTTCGATTAAGGATTGTTCCGAGACTTTCCGGTCCGAGTTAGTTGGGGTAAAACTCGGGAATAGTTTTGGGCCCCGAAATTTTGGACAAAGGAACTAGTGGGCCGAGAATGGAAGCCCACAAGGGAGTGGGCCGAGAAAAAAGGCCCAATGGGCCTCACGCCCAAGACCAAAGCCCAAGGAAAGCCCATTAAGCTTTTCAAGCCCATTTCTCTTCCAAATGGGCCCATTCAAGCCCGAGCCCAAGTTTGCTGGCCCGAGGCCGAGCCCACGTGAATAGTAACCGTGAATAGTCCCAATGGTGAAATTACCAAAATGCCCTTCTTGCATTTATGACAAAGAAACAAAAGAAATTGATGAAGAAGACTTTGGGGGCTTTGCCATCATGAAATTAGACTTTGGTGGCTTCTCTTTATTGAGAAAAATATCTCTCTTAGCCCTCTTCTTCCCCCCATCCGTCCACTTCTCTCTCTCTCTCTCTCTTTCCTTCCCCCCCTCAGTCACGTCCAACTCTCCCTCCTCTTTCTTTGGTTCGGCTGAAGCAGCAAGAACAGCCCCTTGGCTGCTATTTTTGCTGCCGTGGAGCCAACCGTCGAGCGCTGTGACAAGCCGTGACCGCCCCGGAGCCGAACGCCGCTCATCCAAGCCATTTTCGCTGTTAACCGAGCCTCGCCGAGGCAAAACAGCCGCCCCAAAGCTGCTGTCCAGCCGAGACCCAGCCACCGTCGTCGTTCCGTGTCGTTTTCGGACCGTGCAACGCGTAGTCCTCGCCGCCGCCGTCGCGCTCGTGTCATCGGATTCGCTAACGGGTGAGTTATCGCCCTAATCCCTTGCTTAGTAGGTTAAACTTGATTAGAGCGGATTAGTTTAAGTCAATTATGTTTAGTGTTAATTAATTAGGAATTAGTTGTTAAGCTATTAGAATATTATATTAATTTTCGGAAATTAAATAATAATATTTTATTAATTTCGGAATTAAATATATTATTATTTTATTAATATTTTTGTGGAAATTCCGAAATTAAATTGTGTTTATTTTAGGCTTAAATTGTGATGCCTAAGCTAGAATTTGCCTTATATATTGGTTTGTATGCCAAATTGAATTGATTGGTTACGGTGAAATATATAATTACGGGTATTTAATTAATAAACCCTGAGGTGTCGGGTTTATTTGTTAAGTTTTATGTGAGAAATATGTTGTGGATACTTGAATATAAAAGCATGCCAAGTTTGGGAATTTATTGATATGTGCATAATCACGTGTGAATATTTTAGTACATTTTTATGTGTGGAAGTTGCGATATTTCAACGTATTAGCACGGATTATGTTTGCATCGGCTATTGAAAATTATAATGATGGAACCCGAGTGTTGCTATGTGTGCATGATCACCTAAAGGTTCCTTTCGTGCCCGGTTATATCGGAAAACCGTATACCGGATGACCGCCAACCTAGGGTTTGGCCGTGGCCCTAACGGGTGTCCCTAATTTGGTAATTGGAAGCCGTCGTTGGTAGCAGGGGAGACGTAGTCATTCGCGAATCGGATTCGGAATGAACCCATTTATGAGATATGCCGTCATTGTGGTCGGGTGAGACGATGCCGTGCCCGATGGGGCGGGACGATGCCCGGATATACCGGAAGACTGCCAACCTGAGGCGAATATCGCGGGTTGTGCCGTAGCCCCTGGTGTGGCTGTAGTAATTGGAATACGCGTGAAAGATTGTGGTGGCATTGCGCTTGATTATGGGATGAAATTGCTAGGCACGGTATGGGACGGGCCGAAGCGGTTTCACCTTATAATCGGGACACGTGTGGATGCATTGTGCATGGGAAAGTTGTTGCGTATTCTGATTACATTATATGCTTGTTGCATTATGATTGTATATGATGGTTTATAACGTGCAGGGCGTGTGTGCCAAGGTAAGGTAAGAATGTTTGCAATTGTTTAATGGCACGTATGTTTATGTTGGGCTGGGTAGCCTGCTCGTGTGAATAGTTAGGGCAAAGCAGGAGTTGCTTTGCTATTGATCTGTCATCGATAGATTGCTGCATGTTTTAGGTGCATCCGAGATGAGTTGACCTCCTAGTCAAGGCTTAGGTCGTTAACTTACTGAGATTTTATCTCATTCGTTGTTGTTAACCATCTTTTCAGGTGCTCAGGTATGAGTACGCGTTGCGTTTCTTGTGATATGGTTATGTCGAGGGGGAAATACCTGTTGAGGTTGTCCTCGTAGATAGAGGAGCTAGATTAACTCCCTATCCGTTGTTGTTGTAATCGGGAAGGTCGGCGTGGCGGACTGGTAATATATTAATCCTCGATGTACTACTGATGATGTGTATATATATGTTGTATGTTTTCCTGTCTATCCCCGTTGTTGTCTGGAGATATACGCTTCTGTATGTGCATGATCTAAAGTGAAAATGGATGGGTCGACGTTGCGTCCTGGGATGTCGTAATTTCACGATCAAGGAAGGATGTTCGCGCGCTCAAGGGTTCGGGGCATGACACCATAGCTCTGTATTTTGCTTCAGCACTTGAACAAGCATTTACACTATGCTTTTTTGCTTTTCCACGTAACGAGATTACCTCCTATAAGAGTACAAAAACCGGTGGTGGACCTCCTATCAATAAGATTGCTGGCCCAATCAACATCAGCTTTTCCATGTGACCATGTTTCTTCATAAGAATGTCACGTCCTAAACATGACTTCAAACACCTCAATATACGGTCGACAAGCTCCATGTGACCTTCGATTGGAGCACGCATAAATTGACTCACAAAGCTAATGGCATATGAAATGCCCGATCAAGTAATAGTCAGATAAATTAGCTATCCAACTAATCTTTGAAATTGGCCATAATTTTGGAGAGGAGTAGTATTTTTTTATCATTTTGTTCCCAATGGCCAAAATCTGCAGGTTTGGCCCCAATTTTCCTATTTCCTTTAACAGATCCAATACATATTTTCTTTGAGAGAGAAATAAGCCTTTACTGGAAGTGGCAACTTCAATTCCAAGGAAGCATTGCAATCAACCCAAATTCTTGATATCAAACTTCTTACGCAAATAAGTTTTGAGAGTTTCAATCTCTTGTAGATTATCATTAGTAATAACAATATCATCAACATAGATTAACACTACCACAATTCTTTTAAAATTTTTCTTAACAAATAGAGAATGGTCGGATTTAC